TTTTGTAATTACAAAAAAAAAACACTAATGGGAAAAATATGTTTTTGTTTAGTAACTAATGAAATATTTTTGTCGTGAAATCAGTGAAAACTAATATTCGATTGTCTCAACATATGGTTGCAAAAGGCAAACAATAGCCTTCGTTACTGGGTTAATTGGATTGGAGCTACTCGGATTTCCAGAGCACACACTTGTTGCCATTATTACCATTTCCATTTGCGGTACCATTTGCTCCAAGTCAAGCGGAAGTTGTTGTTTCTAATTTAGTTTTGCAGATATGCTTTAACTCTGCAATCGTCATCGACAATCGCGAGTTCTGAGTGATCTCATCGATGATTTCGCAGAGCTCTATCGGAATTGCCGATCGTCAGGGTCGCGCAAAAAGATTTTCCCACAGAGCATTAAACTTTGGGCCACAAAGCAGAAAAAGCAAAAGGCAAAAAGCAAAAAGCAAAAAGCAAGAACGCCTTCTATGGGCATTATGGAAATACCGTTACCAAGATCAAAAGACCTCCGAGCAGGTGAGCCAAACTCTGCGGATCTCGGAGAGGAGATCGATAGATCGATCATTGTTTGTTACCTGTTACCTGCAGAAATCATTTGCAAGCGAATCGATCGATCTATCATTGCCAAAGCCATGCCATATAAGCAATACGATTGTGGGTAGGAAGTCATCGCCATGGGAGAACCTTGAACCCAAAGAGACAAAGCCGCCGATGGGACGGCGTTTGAAATATGATTTTGAATGGGCCGCGGACAGTTTTTGTGATTTTGATTGAGCTCCCAGATTTCGCGTTTTTTTTTTTTTTTTTTGTTTTGTGTGTGTGTGGGGCCAATCGATGGCAATCAGCGGTAAAATATAGTATACAAAAAACACAACAGCCAAATAGGAAAATAACAGTTGAAACGGCGGCAAATCCGCTTAGCAAACTTCCCCCGCTCTTTATAAGCCCCTGTCTTTTACACTTTGAAGAAATCACAAAAGCGTCTGGGTAATTGCAAATATCAACTATTGTTTTGTACAGTAAAGACTGCATATGCATACATATACTATGTATACGTTGAACATATTCCAGTTTTTCAATTGTATTTTTCTCTTTATTATGAATTTTAAAAAGTCCCTGATTTTAGGCCCTTTATTGACTGTTAAATCCAAAGAGGAATATTTAAGTTTCCTTTTGAGTTTTAAACGCATCACAAAAGATAAATAAATTGTTTATTTACTTAAAAAAATGTATTCACTGAAAGAATATGTTTTTTTTTTAAGATTATTTATTTGTTTAATAATTTAAATAGTTAAAAAGGAAATCAAAATTATACAAATTAATTTGATATTTGTTAAATAAAATGTGTGTTGCTTTTATGAAAATTTGTGCTATTTAAGCTTCACAATTTTGTGCGCTTTTATTTTTTGCGTAAATTTGATTTTTTGCAATGTCATTTTATTTATTATTTGACTGCTGCTGTTATTTCTGTGCGCTTTAATTTTGTTTTATTTAATTTGCCTTTTGCGGAAGCAATAAATGCTTTTGCACTGGCTGCGTTGCTCTGCCGCTGCCTCTGCCGCAGTCGGCGTCGCTGTCGACGCCCGCGCTTACGTCGTCGAATGTTACGGTACAAATAATGCGACAGAGTTTCTTTCTGTTGTTGCAGTTTATTTCACTGTGTTTTTTTTCCATTTCTTTGCAATTGCTTTTAGTAGTCATGTAATGTTATTAACGCCATATTGACATACATTTTGTGCACAGGCAAAAGCGCAGAAGAAAATAGAGAAAAATCTAAGCTAATTACGTGACGTTACGTTATGTACCTGTAATAACGCCCTCTCTTTTTTCGCACACACCATCTACAGTCGAACTTCCGTAAAATGAATTTCCCTAGCTTTAGGTCAGCTTAAGCCGAACTATTTATAGTGTACAATTTGAACGAATAAACAATTCTATAACTCAAATAGTCTATATGTTGATATTTTCTTGGCATTTAGTGTTACGAGTTATAGAAGTTCTACTGTAATCTTCTTCTTCTTATGCCTCCTTGCCGCCTTCTTCTTCTTCATCATCTTGTTGTTCTTCTACCGCATCAACGTCACGTATTTGCAATATGAAGGGGGCATGGCCAGATTGAGTGGGCGGTGGACTACAGGTCGACCCACTTTCCATCTCTTTCCGACCCAAAGTTCTATTCCCAGGGAACAAAAAGAAGAATATGAAGAAGTGGGAAACCATATGGATAAGAAGAATAAGAAGAAGAGTCATGTTAATTGCTTCGACACTTGACTGTGAAGAGGCGGATGCGGATGTGGCTGCGGATGCGGATGTCAGTTCACTAGGTTAGATGGATATGAAAATAAAGTTGGACTCAGTAATATCTTTAACTTTTTCATTTAGGTTGTGTATGATAGGGCTTTCCCTAAACCATACTAAAACTTACACAAATTATTAACAAGTTTTATACGAATTTTTTGATGTCAGATACTAAAACATAAAAAACAATATGCTTTAAATTTAATAAAAAATTCTCAACTTTTAACGCATTATCCTTATCTTATTGCATTTAGTCAAGTTAGTCAGTTATCAGATCAGTTACAAATACATGATCGGGTTCTGATTTCCAATCATATTACCGATCATTTCTGTATTAGGTACTATATTCCAGATAAGATAAACATAAGCCCCAAAATTGATAAACGACGGTTGAATTATTTTTTCCGGTGTCCCAATATCGATTTATCAATGGCTACCTGCACTTGCACTTGCTCCACCAACAGAAAACAACAGCAACAACAAGTGGCACGTGCTATCGCTGTTGATGCAAGAAAGTTTTGATGTCATAATAACCATTTCCACAATGGTCCACCCCCTCTTTCTTTATTTCTTTCCTTCTTTTTTTTGTTTGCCTTTGCCTCACTCTCAACTGTCGAATTTCGAAAGTGAAAATGTGATGCTGCTGCGATTATCAAATATGCATGTGCGTCCGTCTCTGTCGCGCGCCACTCTGCATGCATTATTCAGATTTAGATTCGGATTCGGATTCAGAAGAGGAAGAAGCCAAACAAACATTGGGAGTTGAGCTGCAGTTAACAGATGCTTACACATCTACATACATATGTATGTTGACTCACAGCAGCGGTACAAAAAATAGGTCTAAATGTGACCTTCAGTTTGATATCTTTGGTTCCTTATAGTCAAATTTTAAATGTCGTTTTAAGTACTCATAAATTGAGTCTTATTGTCAAATGACTTTTTTTTAAATATAATTTCTTTACCTTTATAATTTTGTGCAATATGCATAGATAATACGTTGGACCAGAAGGTACATATCTAGATTTATCCTGTTACCAAATTGACTATTTTTTGTTTACTTAAAGAACATAGTTCCATATTTTTTGAAAATACCAAAACAAGATTAAAATAACTAATTTTTTTTTTTTCTCAATCTTAATCTACGATATTAAATAGAAAAACTAAAAAAGGAAACAAAACCTTTTCTGTTTTTGAGTTCTATTATTTTGTCTTTCGCTGTACTGGCGTTAAAGCTTCGGTTCTAAGCTGGCGGCCAAAGTGAAACCAAGGCCCAAACAAACTTCGTGGGTAGCCCATCGGTCCAAGGAGAGCAAGAGAGACGGAAATGACGACGAAGAAAGAGATGGGGCGCGTAGCGGGGCGAAAGAGATGCATTTAACGCCTCTGGGTTGCCGAAATGGGTTGTGGGCGTCGCAGCTTTACCTTGCAAGCGGCATGATAAGAGCCCAAAGAAGAAGAAGAAGCCGAAGAGGCGATGCCAAAAAGAAGATGTAGAAAAGAAGGCAGGTCGAAGTGGTTATGCCCTACACATCAAATTCTTCAATAGCTTTGAAACTGCAAGCTATTATAAAAGTATATTTATACAGTTTCAGCTGTTAAATCTAAAAAGAAAAGGCAAAGTAACATATTGAATTATTATGTCTATTATTTTTAGTCAGCTGGAACAGACATATAGCAAATTAAAGTGTTACAGGCTATTGTTAAAAATGTTCAATAATATATTATCTTAATTTAACCAAATTTGGGTTATAGTGTTTACTTATAATATGCATATTTGCAATTAGTTCAAGACCTCAATTTGCACCGGTCCCCTGATTTAGATTTCCTTGAGGTTTATGTAAACGTCAGCGGAGCGTCATCATCGTCGCCGTTGCAGTTGTTGTAGTTTCTGTTGCCCTTATTTGGGGTTAGGGTATTATGGTAAGGTGAAACAATAAACACCAAATAAAGCATTTGTCAGATATCCATAAAAGAGGAGAGGCGGTAGAAAGAAGAAGAAGCTGAAATAATAATATTGTTTAAATATTAAATTATTACAACAAAGTGTGCATAAATGAATATGGAATGATGCAAATGGGAATGCATGACACGTCGAGACACGATTGCAGTTGCTTTTCGCCCCGAAATGGGATTGGAGCTTAAGTTTTTTTTTTTTTTTTTTTTTTGGACCCAGGAAACTTGCATTACGGATGACATAACCCCCAACGTCAAATGTGCCAATGACAAATTATATACAAGTGGCGGAATATGTGGGAAGTAGTGATACATTTTACTTTCGAGATGGTAATCTCAAGGGTATTTCAAGAAATATATCTGCTTAGGTTACCCATCACAATGAGCCTTATTCCTCCAGAAAGAGCTTTTATCTGCCCTGAAATACCGTTCATCCCAAAAGAAAAAAAAACACAACAAGAACAAAAAAAAAAAAAGTATTGTCGCGACGTTGATCGTTCAACGCCCATTGCAGGTTGCAAATCTGCGAAGATCGAGGGAAATCAGGGGGACAGCCTAAAAATGCCGTGCTAAATTCTTTAGGAGCTTAAAAATAAACCGTTTTCTAGTTTTGTATTTTTGACTTTCACTCGGTTGGCACTCTGCGAAATATTTGCCGTGCTCATTGGGTATTTCTGCATCATCTCATGCTAATGCTAATGCTGTTTATTTATTTATTTTTTTTTATTTTCCCTCTCCTTGCAGCACGCAAATTATGTGAGACAGGCGGCAGAGGATTATTTGGCCCGGCGACAGGCCCGCAACAAATCGATGACCCGATCCATGACCTCTGGTCTAGCGGGTCCAATCCTGGCCCTAGGTAACGTCCATTACCTTCCGGCCGCCAAAAGCGGCACATTCTTTGCCCGCGACAATGTGTCCAACTTTATAACCTGGTGCAGGTGAGTTCTAGAAAGCAAAGTCCCCCAACATAACTTAAAACTTAAATGAAATGTAAAAAATCAAACATTTATTAAACTAACATGCATATATGGTACATTTTAATATAGATATAACCATTATGTATTGATTTAATCTCCGCAGGAAAAGCCTGAAGATCATTGAGTGCCTGCTGTTCGAAACTGACGATTTGATTATGCGCAAAAACGAAAAGCACGTTATACTCTGTCTTCTGGAGGTGGCACGCCGGGGCGCTAAATTTGGTAAGTTTCTAGACCTCCTATAACTCAGAAACTAAAAGCAGTTCGGCTTTTAAAATTGGTATGCAAATTAATATGGGCCTTGACAATCACTACCTCTCAAACTTGCATAATTCAAATATTTCAAAATATTAAAATGTTAGGAATGTTGGCTCCCATGCTGGTGCAAATGGAGCGACAAATCGATCGGGAGATCGCCGCCGATAACAAGGCCAATGGAGTTGGCTCCTCGGAAAGCGGTACCCAAACGGAGGCAATTAATTCTGGTAATAGTATGGCCACAACGACAACAATAACGACCACCACAGTGGAGACGGATCTGTATGATGACAGTGATGATTCAGAGACCGAGGACGATGGCGATGAGAATCCCGTGCTGATGTACGGCCCCCAGCCCCAGATAATCACCAACGATCTGAAGAGCCTCGATGAGATGGTGAGTACAACTATTAGAGAGTCTGTCTTTGTTTAAAATTTATAACAAGGAAATATGTTTCGAATTAAGATAAGAAGAATTCCACATATATTTGTTAAAAGTTTAAATGGATGTGAACATTGGTGAGACCAAATCTACAGAACGTAGAACGCAGAACATATATGTATGGTTATAATTACTTTTATTTTGTAGAAAAAACAAATGACCTTAAAAGCCCTAGAGGGTCAAAAGTATGTTTCACAAATATACTAATAGATTTGAAAATTAGTAAGACCAAACCTTTTTGAATGGCAGAATAAGCCCGGCATCTTTCCCCCAATTTCCTTTAAGTTGGCCAACTTGGCTTCCGATATCGGATCTTTCCGCTTTTGGTTTTCCATTTTCCCGCAGGGCTTTCCGTCCAAGTTTTGCGTTCCTTCGGTGTCCCAGTCCCACTCCCAATGTCCACTTTGGGTTTTCTCTTTTATATTTAAGGTTTTTTTCTGTTTCTGATTTTCCTGCGCTGGATCAACTCACGATTTGGTTTGTTATTGTTTTGCTTGGGCTGCTGCTGTTGCTAGTTTTCTCATGTCCATTTTTAGCCATGGCTAAGTTTCCAGTTACCTCAAAAAACAAAAAAAAAAAAGCGTGCCCGAAAACAATACTAAAACAAATAAGAAGCAATTGAAACTGGGACTTTGGTTTTCCTCTTTTTTTGTTAATTTTGTTTTTTATGGGGTGCTATGAGGGTTTCCCAGATTTGCCTGCTGCCATGTTGAGATGTCAAATTAATTTGACAAGATGACGATGTGCCAACAACAATTACAACAATTGTAATTGTCAATGTAATTGCAAGTGTGACGACAACAGCAGCAGCAGCAGCAGCAGCAACAAAGGATGAGGATTGGTCAGGCGCAATGGAAAATCATTGACGACCAAACTAATGAAAGCCATGCAAACATTTCCTCACGCCGCCAGCAACATTGACAACAGCAGCAACATGAGCAGCAGCAGCAGAAGCAGCAACAGCGGCAACAGCAACAACAGCAGCAACAGCAGCAACAGCAGCAACATGGGCAACAGCAGCAACCATGTTCGACAGCTGGGGGATGGATGGTCGCTGGATGGATGGGACATGGACCTGGACATGGACATGGACCTCTCCCCGTCCTCCACGCCACCAAAAGTCCACTCCGAGGCAGCCAATCAATTTGTGCAGCAGGCAGCAGCAACACAAGCAGCAACAGCAGCAGCCAAATCAGCAAATAGCCTCAACAACTTGTCGAAAATCAAATGATGTGCCACCAACAGCAGGAAAGAAACAAAAAGAAATGAAAAGAAAAGAAAAGAAAAGAAAAAGCCACGATCATTTGTCGACTCCAAAAGTCTGGAGCTATGGAGCTATGGAGCTGAGGAGCTGAGGAGCTGAGGAGTTGAGGAGATCTTTAGAGCTGCTGGCACGTCCGCATCGCCGCTGTCTGTCTTTTCGGTCTCCAGCCACCAATCTCCAGTTGCTGTTGGTTAGTTGGTGGCATGCGATTTATGGTTAGGCCAGGATCACATCGCTATCCCCATCGCAATCCATGGCCAGCTAATCTCGTATGCGTCAGAGTCACGCCGATCCCCGATCTCTGGCAGATCGTTGGTTGGATCGCTTGGATCGCTGGCGAATTGCTCCTACCCCCTCCACACACACAAGCGAAAGATTTATTGTCATGTCGGTTCCAGCTTGGAAGCTTGGAAGCTTGCAAGCTGCCAGCCACCATTGAGTTGGAGTAGTAGCTCCACCTAAGCACGCATCCCATGCCATCCCAAGCATCCCAAGCAGCCGGCGAGAAGGAGTTGCAAAAGTTCAAAGGTGCCAATGCGTTGCTCCTCAGCTCCAAGCTGCCACAAACTACAGTAGCAATGGGTTCGACTAACAGTCGGGGAGCCCGAGTTGCTGGCGGAGAACTGCAGTTGGAGGTGGGGTTGCGGATGGGGTATTGGAGCCAGGGCCAGAGACAGAACCACACTGGTCAAAATTTTATTTATTTATTTATTTATTTATTTATTTATTTATTTATTTAAAAAAAAAAAACAAGGATAACAAAATTACCATTAAAATAAATACATATTTCAAAAGAAACAAACCACAAACTTTTACAGATTTGGCACTTTGTAAGTTCTCTCTTAAAATTTGGGTTCTAAAAGTGCTAGCCATTAAAACATTGTTTTTGGAAAATTGATAACTAATTTCAAATTTTCAATTAAGAAATGAAGTCAACATTAACCAACATTTAAAACAAAATTGGAATCGAGATTGAACTACGATCTTTAAAGTCAGGATCCGATGGGCTGAGTGATTGGTTCTAAAAATGGAATTTAGGGTTACATTTTTGCCAAACATTAAAATCCAAAATGTTAGTTCACATTTATATTGATTATTAAACCAGAAACTCTTAGGGGTCACTTTAGAACATAGGTTTTGGGCCACTTTTTACCAAATAAAATGTGTATTATATAATAGGCCTTTTCGGATGATTTTGTTTGCTAAATCGGTTTTTAGTTTTTGTGAGTGTAGAATCAGACCCAAAGGCAGGCCAGGCCAAGTCGTCATTTGTTTGTCTGCCGCCGCCCGCTGGGACGGACTGCTGATGGTGGAGCCGATGCTGACTGGTCTTGCCATGGATCCCAGATCCCATGGCTCCCTAGGGCAAGGGTAGCCCCGCTAGGACCCCCTAGGCCCCTTTAGCCCCTTAAGTCCCTCGATCCTCGCGATTCGCCGCCCCTGCGGATCATTTGTTTGTTGGACAATGGCAGCGCGTGAATTTATGCAGTGAAAAACTATTTGGTGACCCCGATGCTCGTCGCTCAGCTCCTTCACTCCCCCTCCTTCCTTTTTGGGTTTTTTTTTTTTTTCTTTCTTTTGGGCCAAATTGCAGCTACAAACTGCCACTGCAGAAGTCAGGGAGTTAGGAAGTCGGGGAACTAATCGGGTCAGGCTTATGCAATGCTAAGGGTCAATCAAGGGGGAAGGAAATGGGGGGTGTGAGGGGGGATTGGACACTTGGACTCAAGAGTTTTTGTCTGCAGATCTCGGAAAGTTAGTACAGTGTCACTGAGAACATTGGCTTTGGCTCTGGATGATCGTATTTAGGGCCCACACACATTTTTTCCCTATAACTGATTACCTTAAATTAGCCATCGTTAAATGCTAATTAAATCCATAAATTCCACTTATAATAACTGTCATCGCTGCATATTTATATGGTCATTTGTTAAAAATGTATTATATTTAGCTCACAGTCGACTATTAAGGCAGAGAGCTCTGTAAACACATGTAAACACAAACACAGAAAAAAAAAACAATTTAATCATTTTTAATATGTGGTATCGAAATAATTTATGATCATTTGCGGTTAAAGCAATATGTAAAAGGGTTCAACCTTTTCAAATCATGTTTTGAACTAAGGCATATTATTTTTATTATTTTTATACGAACCTTTTGATACTAACGTTACGTTACTACGTTATTCTGTTACAGGTCAGGGATTTGGTAGAGAAGTGCACATGCCCCTCGCAGTTTCCCATGGTCCGAGTGTCCGAGGGCAAATATCGCATTGGCGACACCAAAGTTCTCATCTTTGTGCGGGTGAGTATTGCACAACCAATTGAAATTGGCGTTAGATAAACTAGATAATCCCACTGGCAGATCCTTCGTTCCCACGTGATGGTTCGAGTTGGTGGCGGCTGGGATACGCTCTCCCATTATCTGGACAAGCACGATCCGTGCCGCTGCCGTGCCCAACATCGCAGCTCCGTGGCCGCCCGTCTCATTCCCCGCCAGTCCCCGAATCACAATCCCAGCAATGGCATCGAGCTCCATAAGGCCCAGGTGATATTCGAGAGGTGAGTAGCTTATGCCTAAGCTTTCTATTTTAAAGTTGCAAGGGAAAATTAATCGAACAACGTTTATCGTTCAAATCATTGTGAATTTATCGCCTATTTTTAAAGATTTTACCCATATGCTTACGCAATGTTTCTGATATTCATTTATGTTTCGTTCTGAGAATATTTTAAAGATTTCAACCTTATGCAGAATTTAAAAGGCCTCATTAATCGTTATAATCATTTTGAACTTATCGATCATTTTTCCAAGATTTCTTAAGCATTTACCTATCTTTATACCTTCTCCAGGTCACCACCAGCAGCTCGTCGCGTGTTCAACAGTCCCAATTACAATGGGGGATCGGGATCGGGAACGGTCACGGGAATGGGAGCAGGATCCTCGGCAGCCGGCACAGGAGCAGTGGGCGTGACCCCTCCTCCTCCGATCCAGAACGGCCACAGCTTGTCACCCAATTCGGGAAAGTACCGCAGTCGCAGTCCGACGCCACAGCGCAAGTTTCTCAACCAGCAGACAAGCGGAGGAGGCAGTGCATCCGCAACGGGATCCAGCCAGACGACAGTCACCACAGAATCCTCCAGCAGTCAGCTGCTCGGATCGCCCAGTCTGGCCAGGCGCTCCATGTCGCCAAGTCCTCGCCGGCTGATCGATATGCGCAAGAAGCAGAGCTCCCTGGACTCGTACAGCAGTGGTCCCAAATCGCTGCCCGGCTACAGCTGCTCCCTGGAGGAGGCAACTGGAGGAGGAGGAGCAGCGGTTCCGGTCGGATCGGCAGCAGGAATGGCCGGCACAGGAAACGGAGGAGGATCGGGCCCATCGACGGAGCAAGGTGGTGCCAACAAGTTCGAGAATATCAGCGACAATGGCAGTGAGATCAGTGACGAAGGCTACCGCAGCCTGGGCGTCATCCAATCGGGTGCCCAGAAACGCGAGTCCCTGCACAGTCAGGCCTCCATCGAGGACGCTGAAAGCAATGGTGAGTGGTCAGACTTGCACTACCCATGGATAAGACATCTTCCTGGGTATTACAAATGGATGAACATTCAACATTCATTATTAAAGTTTTTAAAGTTTTTTTTTTTCTAATACCTTATAATCAGGTCATCATATATTTAGTTATTACTTTAAAATAGTGCTATTGGAATCGAACAACGCCTGATATTATTAATATTTTTGTGTGAGTTGTAGATTTTTAAATATCTAAAAATACTTTATAGAGTTTATAAAATATTGAATTTATTATATATAATAGAACATCGAGTATGTAGCTAAGTATATTTTAAAGAAAAAATCTATTTTTCTGATGTATATATATTTTTCTGAATTAAATTAATTAGAAATTTAAATATAAAAGTATATATTTTAATCAAAAAGATTATTTGTAAAAGAAAATTAAGTTTTATAAAATATGTTAATAAATGAAAGAGGCACAGTCTTAAATAATTTTTAATAATAAATATTCGGAATATTTAATTTTTGTTAAGCTGAAGAAATTATCTTAAATATGTCAGATCAAATGGTTTTATGAACTTTTCTAGACCAAGAAATCGGAATTGAGTCAAGTACACTCAGAAAAAAAAACATGGTAGATTCTTATATATATACATAGAAATAAATAGTTTCAATACTGATTTAAACCCAAAAGGCGTTGTTTTTATATGTGTTTTACACAATTTTTACATCCTATTTTACATATTTAATTATACAGTAAACATGAAAAGTTTTTGATTTAAAAAAAAAAAAAAATTTAATTTTAGAAAACCACTTAAATATGTTTATAATTAATTAAGTATGTTTTTGAAATTTACATATTTTTCTCTGGTTGTTATTCCAAAAATATAATCGTATTTTAATATATGTATATCATTATTTTTTTCATCCCGCAGCGCGTCTGGATCAGACCTCCAGTGACTCGCAGATCTCGCCCTCCGATGAGCCGGCGGAGAAGACAGCCGTGGATATTCTGGAAGAGCAGGATCTAAGCAGCCAGGACCGTGAGGAGGAGCACGAGGACTACTCCGTGTGCGATGGTCCCCAATCCCTGCCGGCGATTCTCAGCGGCGGTGCCCACAAACTAAATGATAAATTCGAGCAGTCCGGAGTCTTCATAACCGACGACGAGATCACCGTGGACATGGTGACCAAGGCCGAAGACGCATCGGTGACTCCAGTGGCTGGAATACCCACTCCCAATCTCAGCAAGATTCCACGCTCACCACTGGCGCAACGTCGTCGCCGGAGCATCGATAATAGTACGTGCGGTGGTGTCGGCGGAAGTCTTCAGGATTTGACCAGCCGCTCGGGATTACCAGCTACGGCTGCCTTTAGCCGTAAGCAGCCGGTTTATCGATCCGTGCGAACGCGAAACTCAACGGGAGCCACGACGAACACGCCCATTCCGGTGGCGCCGCCCCGATCCCGTCAAGCCACCCAGTTGCCCATGGTGCGCGATGTCACGAATACGTGGAGTGGCCGGGCCACTGGGGCACCGAAACGTCGACCTCCCTGCAACGCCGACACCTTTGTGGCGCCCACAAATGGACAAGGACTGGGGGCTGGATCCTTTGAGCGCAATGGCAAGGGACGCTCCTCGCAAATCCTCTACGACAGCAATGGTCGGCGGGTGAGGAGCGGAGCACCGGGATGTACCAGTTCGCTGACCACGTCGCCAGTGAAGAATCACGCCTCCTCACCGCTGGCCCAACAACTCCTGGAGGCGGCCAGTAGCGCCAAGAACGATACACAGATTCTGGAGAAGATGAAGTCACTGCTCTCACGCTATGCGGCTGGCAATCAAGCGAAAGCGGGAGCAACGGCAAATAAGATCAACAGTAATGGCAAGAAGACACCGGTCTACGAGGACTTCACCACGGCCTGGGTGCACAGCAATGGGAATCTGGAGCGATCGGAGAGCTGTTCACCGCCGGCCAAGGCCCGATCCAAGCGGAGCTCCGCCGCCAGTTCCTGCGAGAGCAACAACTCGAATGTGGGTGCAGGAGCAGGGGGAACAGGAGGAGCAGGAGGAGCAGGAGGAGCTGGAGCTGGAACTGGAGGAGCAGGATCATCCAGTGTGGTATCGCCCAGGCGGGAGAGGGGCATGTCCAAGATCCCGGCGCCAGTGCGCCATCACACAGAGCTTTACTAGCAGCGCCGGAGGACGCCAAGCGTCCGGGTCCGTTTCCAAGCCAAGTCGAGGGTTTTTTAAAAACAAGCCTCCAAGCGAGCAGAGGAGCTAAACGCTGAAGTGTCTGGGGATTGGGGGTAGTACATACATTAATGCATAAGATAGGGTTAGAGCAAAGCTGGAATTGTCGTGTGTGTGCGTGGAGAGCGGGAAAAGGATGAAGAATCAGGACAGAATCTGCAAGAGAATCAGAAGATGTAGAACCATTCAAAAGAAAGGGCAATCAAAAGAAAACCCCTATAAGTCCAGTAACTGAAAGGTGAAGAACTCTAGAACATTGGAGAATCGGAGGTGATCCCACTCCAAAAAAGAAATCCAGGGGAAAGCCATAGATATAGGATACCCAAGACAGAATCAGGATCGGGAAAGTGTCGAGTGGAGAAAGTGAAAACTGAAACTGCCTCAAGGACAGACAGGTCAGAATCCCTAGCAGCCAGAGACCCCCAAGCATATCCCTCTTATAAACAGCTCTCTGTAAGTAAGCTTTTCTTAAATTCAACTATAAAAAAAACCCTCTGTAATCGTCGTTATATAAGCTCCCGTATAACCACTTAATAACCTACCTTTATGCGCAGACTTCAATTTTCTTGAGCTTCATATTTCCAAAGTCAGTTATACATTTTTGTGACTCTATCGTATACGTGCATTTTCGTAACCCAAATCGAAAGCATTTGATTTGTATTTAACGTAAGATATGAATTTTGGGATACCCCCATTAAGCTTCGATCTGTGCTGATCTAGGGTAATGAATTAACCATATATACAATCCAAATTTGAGACTCGAGTAAAAATTTTAAATCAATTTTTTTCTAGGCCTAGAACAGGAATTTTAGATCTACACCAAAAGCCACAAAAGCAAAACAATATCGAATATATCTATTAAAAAAGCATAGGCACACACACACACTCACAATTGCATACACATAGACGAAGCATATACATAGTTTTCTAGAAATTTTTAAAGTAAAGCCAACCAAATTCTTCAGATTCGTTTCTTAGCGAAGCAGAATACATTTATTTTTGTACGCTTGACCAGAAAAACCGTCGGAGATCGTGGGATCTGAAAAGAAGAATAGCTTTTAGACAACTCGACTTTTACAGTATAGCTATATATATACAAGGAAAAGTGGATTCGGTTAGAGATATATAGAAAGCATAGCTAGGAAATGAAGCGAACGCCCCCGCAAAACACCTCCGATATGTGGGTGCTCCTTGGTCTGGGAACTCCAAAATCACGCTCTTCAAAACCACAAACCTGCACCACCAAAAACACCACACACACACACCACACTAGGAAAACATACAGTGCGTTTCGGAACTGTAAGGCAGTTATAAGAAGTTTAGTTCGAATTTAATGACCGTTTAATCGCACTATATATTAAAAGAAAAATTAGCTAACTGTATCGAATTAATCAAAGAAATGCAAAATCAAAGCGATTCGATAACAGCCCCAAAACGCATTGTAAATTACCAACAATACTTTATGACACACATAAAATATAAACACAAAACATGATAAAACGGTCACAAAAAAAAAAAAAAAAAGAAAAATAACTGAGAAACTATAGCTTTTGATGGGACATACGGATATCGTAGAGCGAACGAACGAACCATAGCGTAATTTTCAGAACTTTTTAAATTTCTACAACTATAAACCATACATATATACTGATTATTATTTTTTTTCTTTAGCTTTAACAATGTTAACATATAGTTTAGTACATCGTACCTATGATCATAACTATATAGATTGTAAATTGTGTTTGTCTAATTGCCCCCATGTTGTATAGTTCTTATGTACTCGTAAAATCGGCCTTAATGTTCAGTCTGTCGATACCTTAAATATCAGTTTTATATTGAATTTTTTTTTTTGATTTTGTATTATTTCTTTTTGAATTTAAGTTGCGTTTTTTCAGCTTTTTATTGTACACCAAATGATACCAATTTATGTATAGAATCGAAATGGCGAAAGAGATCGCAACCAAAATAATTAATGATTAATTGTTTAACAATTAAATTATTCCAATACACACACACATACACACATAGACAAAAAATACCCATACACATACACACCTGACCCGTGGTGAATTTATAATTATAGAGAATTAAGCAATTTGACCGATTTGCATGCCAAAAGGTTGATAACAATTCGAGCAAAGAGAGGAGGAGATTACACCACGGGTTCTCGAGCGCTGGCCATGATGAGCATTGCATCGCATCGCATATAATATACATATGTATTTGGATATATATCGCAGAACATATAAAGTGTATTTTAAATACAGCTAAAAGTGTAATTATCAATTCATTTCAAAAGCAAACTAACTATTACAAATGGAATAGATTAGACCGCAAGGGTGTACTCTAAGCGAACCAGCAGCATAATTGATTTTAATCACAAGAATTTAATTAATAAAAGCCTATATACAAATATATAAAAACGAATCAAACAATGGTTTTAGCTTAATACCCTCGCAGGGTTTTTATTTATCCACATATACAAAGCGTTCTGGAATCAAAGCAGATCCTAAGTATTTAGCAATACATATAAAGTTGATTGGATAATGGGTAATGGGTAATGGGTTATAATATCTAAAGATCGCCGAAAGAATCCAATCCGCCGCCCGTCTCTTTTCCCAGCTTGACCTTATCCTGACTCTCTGTCCAGGCCTTGGCAATCATTTGCTTCGTCTTCGTGTCACCATCGTTGTACATCTTCTTCATGATGTTAACCAGCGCCGATTCCGGATTATCGCTATCCTTGCTCATTTCGGTGTCTTGCTTTTGCTTTAGCCGTTTCTGGATGGCGGTTAGCACGTCCCAATTCTCGCCCTCCTTGGCCTTCTTCAAATAGATGGCCACCATGTCTGTTTTGATCTTCCGATAGCTCTTCTCCACATCAATCCCATGCAGCAGGTTGTTCACGCTCAGCCCAAAGTCCTTGCCCTGCAGATCGCGCACATGCAGTTGGAGTGAGTTCGTCGTGTAATTGACGGTCACATCCTCCTCCTTACAGCCCTGCACGCCGTTCAGCGTGATGAAGAGCTTCACGAACTTGGGGCTCTGGTCCCAGCCGTAGTCGGTCAGCTCGTGCAGATATCTAGGAGATCGAGAAAGAAAGGATAAGACTGCAGCCTTAAGCAATAGAAATGACAGGGGTCTATAAATTTGGAGTCCCGAAAAAGGCTAATCGGCAAGATGTTAAGTTGGGAATGGGGAACTATTCTGCTTTGAATCCATATACAATGTATGTTATACATATACTTATGAGGGTCGTCCCGTGCCTTCCTTAATGACCAGACCAAACTTCTAGAAATTTCTGGACAAAGTTCAAGAAGTTAACAATGGATAAGGTTTAAGTTTATAATGGATATGTCTGAGCAACGTGACTATTGAGATACGAATTGGGGACCCTCGTGGGTTTCAAATTCCCTGTATTCCCCGAACCTGGAGCACCCCGGCGCTTACCTCTTGGCCTCGCTGGATCCCGCCGCCTGTCGCTCCGCCGCAATGCGCGCCTTCATCTCCAGGTTGACGATCTGCCGTTCCGCCTCCGCTTTTGCCGTGGTCAGCACGCCTTTTACGCGGGCGCTTTTGGCCTGCTCCAAAAAGGCCGCAAACTCGGCCACATCGCTTTTCAGCTGTTTTCCAAGTGGGTGAATCGTTTATTAAATGATGTCACATCTGCTGTCCATTCACACTTACCTGTTCCAGCGACATATTGTCGGAATTAACAATAAAACAGAGAAATTTCGTAGAACCGCAGAAGTTTCGAGCAATTCAATGACGCCGGCTCCCGCACTAAATGTCCTAAAACACGAATATCGCGTCAAGAGGATGATTGTGGGATTGTGGGATATTCTTCTTATGGTATTTTCGGTATTATCGGTATTTTCTGTAGGCTGATGAACGATATTGTGTTTAATTGAAAAGTGCCATCTCTAAGCACTGCTGTTTCGTGGCCATCGTTTTTTAAGTTTGTTTTTATTAAAATAAATAGAATTTGACTTTAGGTCAAAAACAAAAGCCAGACAATATAAGAAACATTTAAGTTTAAAACAAATTTTTATTCGTTAAAATATATGAATGAGAAAGTTTCAAAAATGACAATTAACAACGAAAAGAAAATATCCTTGCAAAATGAAATCTATGGCACACTTCTCACTTCCGAAAAAGAGATTTTCCGCCAAGGGAGTGTGACCAGTTGAGAAACGCAAGACGTTGCGGTATTCTCGGCGCAAATACAGCGAAGCACACTTATTTTTTATGGCCTCCGTCGTAGTCGAAAAAAAACCATCGATGGTACCGGCTGTACTGGAACTTAACCATCGATATTATCAATAGTGCCATCGATGGTTTGATACCAAATACCTAGCCACGACAATACGAGCCCAGTAAATGTGCTTTATCCAGGAAATCCACTCCTCATCAGCGGACGCTGCGCCACAGCCAGAGTTCCGGGATTAAAGGGCGGCGCAGCAGGCTTTGCTAATCCGTACTCGGGATTGGGAAAAGTAAAAGGCATCCAAGTGAGTAGGCCTGGCCGGATAGGTCAATATGCCATTCATGAGGCAACAATATGCCATTCATAATCCACTTTCCCAACATTTCGGAACCCCTTTGGCTTTAGTTAATAACTACATTGGATTTAATTTAAATTAACCGTTTACTTCGCAGGCATATAAACCAAAATCAGTAAAGCTCCATACATATACCCTTTCAAGCCGATGCCCAGGATTTGTCTGCTTCTAAGATACCCAGTTAAAGCGCCGGATAATGGCCGAACGCGTCTTGTGCCAGGATATGGCGACGCCAGGCGGCAATCACTATCGTCGCCCCAAATCGGGAACGGGGAGTCCCAATATGGTATACGCCAACGGGGGAGGATCCTGGCGAGCAGCTCCAAGGCAACAGCAAAGGCAGCAGCAGCAGCTGCAGCATCATCATCATCATCATCACCACCAGAAACCAACCCCTCATCAATCATACAACAGTCCAGGAGCTGGGGGAAAAGGCGGCCTGGTCAAGCAGGAAGAGCAGCCGTTGCCGGATCCCACAGGAGCTGAACTATTGGGTTTGCCGGCCACCCCGCGAACCATTAAACAGGCGCGCAACAAAAGCGAAGGTGAGTTCAAGCATCCCAACTCCTATGTACCAACTCCAGTAATCACAATACTCCACCTCCGTAGAAGCCATCAATGATCTCCTTGTGCGAATACCGTACATTGGCCAGCTGTTCGATGTGCACAGCCGGATTGGTAATGGAACCTTTAGCACGGTTCTACTGGGCACACTGCGGCGGGAATCGCATCTGCCGGACAGTCTGCGTCGCAAGTTTGCCATCAAACATCATATACCCACCAGTCATCCGGATAGGATAATGAAGGAGCTGCAGTGCATGACCAAAATGGGGTAGGTCCTTCAGTTACACGTATCCCATACTATCCCTAGCATCCTTAGTGTATCCCCTGATATGTCTGCCATGTGTACACCCACGCTCTTTCGTCCTCGCCTGCGTCAAACACCGTTAAACGACGTCAGCCGGTAGCGGCTCCATCTACGTCATTGCAATTTATTTCGCCGCACGAACGAGCGAGATGGAGAGACTGTGGCGTTCGTTTATTGCACTTTCATACGCCATTCACGTGCCCATTTACAGTTACATCGAAGCCCTCCCTGTCTCTCGCTCTCTCTCTCTCTCTCTCGTTCTCTGCACAGCAAAAAATTCCCTTCTATTTATATATATATATATATATATTTACATTTTTCACATTTTGATGTGCGAATAATGTCGAACCTAGATAAATTCCACATTTGTTTACGTGAAATAGCATCTCCCTTTGCACGGAAAAAAATCAAATAGATTTGCCTAAGACAAATAGACACATTTATATATTTTTACGCCATTTTTTTCAGATGATAATATAATTTGAAGATAAATTGCATTTGCTATACATTTGTAGAGCGTCTGCCTCCCGCGTTTAAAACCCAAACGTCCAATGAATTTACATACATATGTATTTTATCAGCCTTGCAAATATTGTTTTATATATATATGTATTTCTGTACAATCAATATGTTTGTAATATTTGACATGCTGATAATATCATCAAATTTTTATCATATTCTATAAAAATTTGTTTTCTGTGTGGCAGTTGTACTGTTTGTTTACATCAGACATGCGTGGTTTCGAGTACAGACACTCGCATATCCTGCAATCCCAGCCGTCTGTTATCGATTGCCATGCCCTGCCCGCCAGTCGATTAGATTAGGCGCAGTAGTCGGAATCCGAATTCAAATCGGTTCAATACCGCCTCGAACCGGCGGAGTTAGGGTATCGTCGTCAGCCGGCTGTATAATTCACCCTCTCGAAAAAGCAAAAAAAAAAAATAAAGAGAGGGAAAGAAAGTGGGCAGTTTGTGTAGGCGGCTTTGCGTGTTTGACATTAGCCGGCTGCCCGGCTGCCCCCTGATTACCCATCTTTTGCCCCCTTGAAGACCCATTTGCCATTTGCCTGCTGCGATTTTGTGTCTACTCAAGCAATTTGCGCAAATTCTTCAGACCCAATTGCGTCACAGCCGACGATAATTATGACTGGGCCATGCCGAGTGCTCCCTCACGTATTCACATATGCCGTATACCATATTCCGTATGGCCATCGCCCAGTTCGCAACTCGCATATTCCACATCGCCCATCGCTCACCTTTCATAAGTGTGCTAAGCGGTTGGCTAAAAGATAAGCTAAACAAAACAAGTGGTTAGCAAAATGCAATTCATAGCTGTTCCTGCTTAATCAAAAGCCGATTTTTATTATGGAAACGAAGCATAAGGTTATTTAAATAATTTCTAGTTTCAATATGTAATGTTAAGTAATTAATTATTTTAAAGTTCTTTAAAAAAGACTTACATTATTTCGTGCAAAGACTGATAAAAACGTAACATAAAAAAACAGAAAAAATTTTAAAATAACTAGGCTATATTTTTAAAACATTTTCCGAATTTCAGAATTTAAACATGGTTTTTTTTTGTTTTATTAATTTATACAAGAATACGTTTTTTTAAATAAATATTGACTTGAAATAGCTAAAAGGCTAGACATCACTGCTTCTGAGTGTGACGTCGAAGCACCTCTCTCTTTTTATATATATCTCTCTCTCTCTCTTTTACATACAGACTTAGTGGGCGGAAGTGTGGAGGTGTCTCTGTTGTTGTTGTTTATCCACAAGTAACGTAGGGAAACAAGAAGTAGAAGAAGGTGAAATAATCCGGCAGTCTAATTTAGTCGGGATTGACAGGATTAGTTTATTCGGAATGTTTTTTAATTATATTTTTATTTTTATTTTTAATTATAACGATAGAGTATATGTACTATTTAGTTAATTTAACATATAAAATATTTACCTTTAAGACTAGAAAATAACTAATTTCAAAGTTTTAGCCCTCCAAAACTCAGCAGGAGTATTATCTTATTTAAATCAGGACAGCGTCACCAATTTTGAAACCCCAGAACATTGTTAAATCAATATGAGTTCCAAATTTTGTATAATGGACTTAGTAACAGAATTCCGGGTTCAACTCCCACTGCTAGCCAATAAATTTAAAGGATTTTTTATAGTCTAAATTAAAATAGTTTCTGCTGAGTATTTATTTTCTGAGTATTTATTTTCTGAGTATTTATTTTCCGAGTCTTTATTTTCCAGGGGGACGGAGAATGTGGTGGGCATCCACTGCTGCCTGCGATGCGACGCCTCCGCCGCTTTTGTGATGCCCTACATGGCTCATGACCGATTCCATGACTTTTACACGCGGATGGACGTGTCTGAGATTCGATTATATATGCGCAATCTACTGGTGGCCCTGCGACATGTGCATAAGTTCGATGTCATCCATCGCGACGTGAAGCCGAGTAACTTTCTCTATAATCGTCGCCGTCGTGAGTTTCTCCTGGTGGACTTTGGCCTGGCCCAGCATGTAAATCCTCCGGTTATGGGTTCTTCTGGGACCGTCGCCTCCTCCGCTGCCAACAACAACAACAACAACAACAACAGCAAGCGACCACGTGAGCGGGAAACAACGGAGGCACTGCAGCAAAGTACACCAGCGGATGCAGGTTTGGGTGGCGCTGTTAAGCGTATGCGTTTGCACGAGGAATCCTCCAAGATGCCCCTGAAACCGGTAAACGATATTGCCCAAAGCGAATTGCAGCAGCCAGCAGTAGATGGCTCCAATCTTGTCCAGCAACAGCCGGTGCAGCAGCAGCAGCATCAGCAGGCACAAGCGCAAATGGATCAAGCAGCATCTACCGCTTCCGGGAGCAAGTACAATACGAATCGAAATGCCTCGGGAGCGGCGGCCAACAGTGCAAAATGCTTCTGCTTCGCCAATCCCTCGGTTTGCCTCAACTGTCTGATGAAGAAAGAGGTGCACGCCTCCAGGGCAGGAACACCTGGCTATCGACCGCCTGAGGTATTGCTTAAATATCCGGATCAGACCACCGCCGTGGATGTTTGGGCGGCAGGTGTGATTTTCCTTTCGATCATGTCATCGGTGTATCCGTTTTTTAAGGCCCCCAATGATTTCATTGCCCTGGCCGAGATTGTCACCATATTCGGGGATCAGGCCATAAGGAAAACGGCTTTGGCCTTGGAGCGCATGATTACATTGAGTCAGAGGTCCAGGCCACTTAACCTTCGCAAGTTGTGCCTGCGTTTTCGCCATCGATCCGTTTTCGCTGATGCCAAGCTCCTGAAGAGCCATGAATCTGTGGATGGAAAGTGCGAGGTGTGCCGGAACTGTGATCAGTACTTCTTCAACTGCCTCTGCGAGGATAGCGAGTACTTGACGGAGCCCCTGGATGCCTACGAATGTTTTCCGGCCAGCGCCTATGATTTGCTGCATCGCCTGCTAGAGATTAATCCACACAAGCGCATCACCGCCGATGAGGCACTGCAGCATCCGTTTTTCACGGCCGCCGAAGAGGCAGAACAGCCGGCAACGGATCAGGATCAGGTGGCAAATGGAACACCACGCAAGGTGCGACGGCAAAGGTATCACAATCACAAGACGGTGCCCGCCACTCCAGAGCAGCTGAAGCAACAGGTGGCCCTCGACCTGCAGCAATCGGCCATCAACAAACTGTGAAACTAGTCCTCATACATTACTCATACACCACCCAGTCTCGTCATTTGTATATAAAATATAACCGAATCACATATCACACGATTGTATATAGATAATAACACACATCCGAGCACATCTCATATGCACCCAAAAAACTCGTCCAGTGTACAGTGTCCAAGTGCCCAGCTCGGCCGCATCTACTTACCTCAAGCTGCAGGAAGAAAACCAAATGAAGCACTCAATCCACATATATTTATAGAAAACGTTTTAAATCATGAACAATAGGCAAAAATACCAAAAAGAAAAAAAACAAGAGAAGAGAATGATTATGATTATGAATTATGGCCGCAAGGCTTGAAAAAATTGTAAAGTTAAGATCCGCAAAGGCAACCCAAGTGCATGGCCACCGACCAGTGGCAGAAATTCTGCACTATCCATCAAGTTGAATAGTTCGAATAGTCTTAGCTAACCTAAGTATAATGTATTGTATATCAGAAAACCATGTGAAAGGAGATATATAAAGAAGCAAAAATATATTTATACCATGAAGTATGAGACCTGGTTCCTGAATCCTAGAACTGACATATAGAAAGGGGTTATAACAACTACCAAAAATTGGGACGAATATAAAAACGAAGATTTAAACGCAGATTTAAAAGATATTAAGCCACAATACGTTAAATTTAAACTACTCGAAATCGAATGTCTGTAAGAAAAGTTATAAACTTAGAATTTCAGGTTTTCTCACTTTTCTGCATAGCAATTTTTTTGAAAATTTAGAAAGGGGTTACATCCAAATCGAATGTCTATAAGAAAATTTATGGAATTAAAACTACAACCCAAGATTTAAATGCAGATTTTAAGATACCTTAGCCACAAGACTTTAACGATTTACAACATCCAAATGGGATGTCTGTATAAGTTATGGAATTAAATCTGGAGGTGAATAGTCAGTTTTCCCCAAAGCCATGTTTTTAAAAAATTTAGAAAGGGGTTACATCATAAAAATGAAAAAATTTAAAACCAAACTGCAGCCCAAGATTTAAATGCAGATTTTTAGATACCTCAGCCACAAAACTTTAAAGATATACCACATGCAAATCGAATGTCTGTAAGAAAAGTTATGGAATTAAAACTGGAGGTGTTTAGTCAGTTTTCTGCAAAGCCATTTTTTTGAAAATTTAGAAAGGGGTTACATCATAAAAATGACAAAAATTTAAAACGAAACTATAACCCAAGATTTAAATGCAGATTTTTAGATACCTTAGCCACAAGACTTTAAAGATATACCACGTTAAAATCGAATGTCTGCAAGAAAAGTTATGGAATTAAAACTGGAGGTGTTTAGTCAGTTTTCTGCAAAGCCATTTTTTTTTGAAAATTTAGAAAGGGGTTACATCATAAAAATGACAAAAATTTATAACGAAACAACAACCCAAGATTTAAATGCAGATTTTTAGATACCGTAGCCACAAGACTTTAAAGATATACCACATCCAAATGGGATGTCTGTAAGAAAAGTTATGGAATTAAAACTGGAAGTGTTTAGTCACATTTCTGCATAGCCATTTTTTTTGTATATTTAACCTTAATTCTTTTTGCCTACACAGGCATTGGCTATTAGAATTTTGGAACATTTTTAAAGTGTATTCCTTAGTCGAATGTATAATTTTTTGTAATTTTTAACCTCGTTGAGGAGTTATTTTTTGATTGTTATAAATTAAAAAAAGGCTTCACCACGAGCCGGTAAATCATAAAATAATAAAGAGAAAGGTCGCCAACACAGTTACTTGCAGTTGTATTGAATTGAAACACATATAAACAGATTTATGTAGGAAACATTAGTGTATTTATATAAAGCAATTAAATGAAAACAGATTTTCAAAGGGAAGAAATAAGACTATTCCCAGGAGAACTTAACACTAAGCTAGATCAAAGCACAGGTTTATTTTCCCATATCTAGGTTTCCATCTTTTCGGCTTTCTTGCGCTTCGTTTTGGATGTGGAAGGGGATTCAGCGGCATCTGTATTCTCCGCAACCTCCTCCACCCGGATCCTCTTGCCGGCGACCACATCCTCCTTGGAGGGCTGTGTTTCCATTGTTCTTTTTTTGGGCTTCACAAAGCTGCCACGCCCCGCGGCGCGTTCCGCCTCCTCGATGCTATAGGGCTCCACTTCCAGCGCCTTGAGCCGCCTCTTGTGCACCTTGGTGCGGAAATGGGCCTGCATGGCAGTGTCGTCTATGAAGTACTTCGCACAGTGCACACAATAGAACTGGGCGAATCCCGGCTTCTCCAGATCCACATTCTGATTGATGAGTTCACCGCTACGGGTGCGCAAATCATCATCGATCTGGTCGAGATCACGACGGCGATTTCGCACACGCCATCTTCTCTGCAAATGGGTATCTCCATAATGCATCTTCTTGCGCTTCGTTACCATTCCCATTTTGCTGTTTTTTGTTGTGATTTACTACTTGAGCAAAAAAAAATAAACGTTGTTTTGGCACGTGTTTTGGTAGCAAGTGTCTTTCTACCTGAAGTTGTTTGTATAGAGTTGTTCTAGAACCTGTAAATAGTTAGGCCATTAAATTCTGCTTAAAAGTACTCAATTTTATTGTAAACTATACTTTTTTTTTACTAACTAAACACAGTTCATTAGTAAAAAGAAATTTAATGCGCACAAAACAATGGCAAGCTAGCGATAACTCAAAACTATCGATAAATACGTTAAATCAAAGGTGTGCACACTGTCTCGCAGCTGTTTGTTTTTTTTTTTAATTTTAAATACTAATACATTTAAAATAATAAGAACAAATTAATTCCTAATAAATGATAAATCTACTTTACTTTTATGTTTTAAAAATGCATTTCATTTGCTTTAAGCATACACATTGAAAAACCAACTATTTGTCATTTTTTAGTCCCTTTTTGTATGCAAAGCACTTTTAAATAAAAAAAACATATGTTCGCTAATAATTCATCAACAATCGTGCGAACAAGTTGTCTGCGGGCGGACGTGGTGCGCATTTTGTTTTGTTTTTATTTATTTCCGCAGGAAGTAAAGTAAGCCTGGAATACAGGGATATAAACAAAAAGCTTATAAAGATAAAGTGCAATTGATTAGAAAACGAGTGGGGGAAGGGAAGCCAACGCACACACATGTGCGATTGGATAACACTGTGAAACAGATCGGGCTTTACACTTGCAAAAAACGATTCAAGCTATTATAGCAATTGTTTTTGTTGTTTGGGAAGCTGCAGCCGGTTATTGCTATCTCTTTTGGTCTCCAAGCTTTGCATATATCTTTAAGTGTATGTGCGTTCGTGTGCGATTTGGTGCAAAAGCCACTGCAACATAAGCAATAAACAGAAACTGTGATTGTGGATAAAAGAGAAGTAAGTGGCCTAGGGTGGGGGTTGAAAGGGAGCGGCCCAGCTGCTGCAACCATTGTAAAAAACAACAATTGTTGGGCTATTGGAATTTATTGTTGAGTCTCTGTTCCAAGCTAGACATTCCGTTGAATTCACTACTTAAACCGACAATCATTATTACAACTAGAACAACAACAACAAATTGCACCGCAAATTGCAGTAAGTAAAAGACAACAAAGTAGACAGAACTGATAAATAGTAATAACTAAAAACAAAACAAGAACAAGCAGAGCTTAACAACTCTTATCGATAATCAGCGATTGCATTCCGATTGTGATTATCAGTGGAAATTGCTTATCAGTCAATTATACCGTTACAAGCACAATTAAGCGACAATCTGCGTGTGTGTGCTTTGATTGATATACGAATTTAGATCAACAAACACTCTCTCTTTTTCTCTCTTTCACACTATGATATAATAGCTACCCTTCCCCCACCTACAAAAAAAAAAAAACACACGCACTGAAAATAAACGCTCTCGCTCTCTTATTTGCTTTTGTAGTGCATGGCAGTCACGATTTGACATTTCGCAAAGATGTGGATGTCTGAGTAAAAAGGATGGAGATCTCTTGTACTTACAGCGTTTAATGTAAACACTTTTAGATCAGCTGATGAGCCAACGGTTAATGCCATATGTCCATCGAAATACACAAAAAGAATAATGTATATTAAAACTTTCCAAAAAAATTTAGTTCAGCTAACAATGTTTCAATTTTTAAAATGATTTTCCAATTCAAATTTTAAAATTTGTGTAAGTTTTTTAATTATTTCTCAATTTTTTTTGTAGACGAAATGTAATAAGAAAAAAGAGTTGAAAGCTTTTTCGTTTTGTGTGTACATCACTTACGATTGACAAATGCGATTTTGTTTTGTAGATTTTTTTTTTAAACAACTTGCAGTAGATCTTGTCGAAATGGGCTAATTTTTTCCTGCGTAGAGATAATGCGGGAGCGGGCTAGAGTTTCTAATGCAAGTGACTAAAAGCGAGAGTGTTGGAGGGAGAGCGGTCCAACCGGTTTAGTCTAATCGTTAGTTTTTGTTGTTTAGTTAACAGAGTCGTAGGCAAGGGGGTTCACCTCCAACCCCCAAAGCATTTGGCGTACCAACCACTTGAACTATTAAACCAAACAAGGTTGCCTTCGAAAAAAATATTTATTTTGAAGGAAAATATGTTTTTACATTTAAATTTGCTTTATTAAGAATGTTGCTCTTTTTTAGATCTTAAAGTGATTTTAACTTATTTCTGTTAATATGCAATTCTATAAACATATTATTTGTTGTAAATAAGCTGTTTTATAAACAAATTCCCCTGAAAAATGTTTTTTTGCAGCTGCCACTGTTCAATAGATATATTGCAACACCCAAAACCATTGCTGCATCCAAGAGTAGCAATTATGTTTTGTATATTCTCTTTTAATGGGTTGTTTTGAAAGCATCTGGTTTCCGTATCGATCTTTGGCTGCCTAGAGATACGGTAACAGAGTTAATTTTCCTTTCGTTTGGCCAAAAACAGAAAAAAACCAACCAACCAGTTGACCAGTTGTGCCAGTCCAGTTCAGTTGGATTATTATTGAGTTCACCGCTCCAAGGCTATAGCATTCCATTTCATTCCTCGCCAGATCACTTAAAGAGGTTTTAAACGTGAAATTAAACTCGTCACTGCACTCGACTACCTATTTTCATAAAGATTTCGCCGCTCAGAATAAAAAGAATTTCATAGGAACGGGTTTTCTATCGCGTAATCTAGACACGATTGGTTCTAACGCTCTGTTGTGGTTTTGCCATTTATTTTTTACGAATGGGATTATTTACAAAAAAATGAGGGGAGGAGTACGTGTCTTAACATTTCAATGGAACCTGAGCATGTGTTTGTTTGCGTTTTTTCCCGCAGCTTAATTATTTTTATCATTCAATATTAATGAATATTTACTTGTGAAATTGTTACGAAAAACATGTATTCGATGTATTTTCGCCTTTTTGAACGGTGTGCGAAATGGGGTTTTCATTTTAATGCATTAAAACACACCATATCCGGTTTTAATTTCGAATGAATTATGATAATTTAGGATCAGTTAGGTGTTTCATGGTGGTAACCTGTATCCCTGACCTCGTAGCAGTTGTCTTTTTTTGTGCCTCAACCGCGCTTCCTGCGATATCAGTTAGCTTTTCGCCTTGCATGCCACAAGTGGCTCGAACATACATATTTCCCTGATTAAGTTGTAATGTGTGGTCGCAGCTCCTTATCACCAAACTCCGATATGAACATTCGAATGCGGTGAACCACAGAGACAAACAAAAGTCCAAAAAAAAAAAAAAAAAACAGACAGAAGTCACAAAAAGTTCTCAGCTCGATTCGTCTGTTTTAATTCAGGTTCGAAGTGTTCCCATTTGCAGAAGTGGAACAGCAGTTGGAGGAGTAGCAGGCGTGCCATTATAATCCAGGTTAATCCAAGGTCAGACGTGAGTCGGGGGAAAGTGGGCGGTATAGTTTCCTCTTCATCCGGTGGGTGGGGTACGCGGAGTTATGTCTGGTATTTTTATTTCACTCACATTTCACATTTCATTCCCCCATTTCGCATTTAGCATTCCCCTCAAAGATGTGAAAGGGAAAGGGCGGAGGTTGGATTGTTCAGAGATTGACTTTCTAATTGAAATATCGGTTTGAATGAAACTTAGGTTGGGCTGCTGACCCAAAACACACTCACAAAGCTAACTTTACATGCATGTACAATAGCGGTCGGAATTTGATCTGAAAAAATGTTAACCTATAAATGGTTAAATGGAAGATCTTGGGACATTTTTAAGTTTTTTTTTTTTTTTTTTAAATTTCTAGATTTTTCAATATTTTTGAAGACTTGTTATAATAACAATATATCTATGTTTCCTGATAATTGAGATATAATAATGGAAATGTCATTTAATTATTTGTTTTCATACACTAACATTTTTATAAATACATCCATGATTGCTAATCTAAAATCTCAATCTAAAAGTTTTTAAAATTGATAAAAGTCAAAATATTAAGATAAATATCTAACAAAGGAAAAAAGTATCTTAAGTATCTACAAGTTATAGTAAAGATTATTACCCTAAGCTATTATTTTGCCCGCCGTTGTACTCATTCATATAATTTATATGTACATTGTTTATTGTTCACTTACGAGGGGCAAAGATTTAATGCGACTTTCACTTCATTCTCCTCCGCAGTCATTAATCGCAGATTCACAGAAAAGTCGAGTGCGGTAAGAAGACAATCTTCCAGCAGCAGCCATGGACCACGCCCATCACAGTGCACCCGGTGTTGGTGAGTTTGAGTCTGGATATATCCCCATGATCCGTTTCTGATAACTCCTTAATTGTTCACAGATCACTCGATGATGCACCACGACCATGCGGGCATGCATCACGACCTCAGCGGAATGGGTGCTGCAACTGCTGCGCCGGTTGAACCTGCCTCAATGTTTGACATGATCCCCGACTCCAGTGATTTGCATGCCGGTCACATGGGTCACGCAGGTCACAACCACGGCGGTGGTTCTGGCACGGGAATGGAGCACATGATGCCCATGGCGGTAAACGAACCTATTCCCATGGAAAATCCCCTCTTAATTGCTGTTCACCATTCACAGTTCCACTTTGGCTACAACGAGACGATCCTATTTTCCTGGTGGCACATCGAAACGGTGGCCGGTTTGGTTGGCTCCATGATTGCCATTTTCCTGCTGGCCCTCATGTACGAGGGTCTGAAGTACTATCGGGAGTACCTGTTCTGGAAGACGTACAATCTGCTGGAATATCGCCCGGTTACGGGGCCACAGCGAAATCCGGAGGCACCGCGTATACCCTCGCCGGCGGCGGCAGCTCCCTCGCCCGTGCAGTGAGTTCTGGAGTTTTGCTTTGATTACCCATTATACAAAAAGGGCGGATTTTGCAACCCCCAAGGAGTTAGTGCATGCTTTTTGCCCTCAGCCCTGCCTTTAGCTTTGTATCTATACTTGTATCTGTACTTGTATATATTAATCTTAATGCTTTCTTCTTTCTTCTCGTTTCGTTTTCGTTGCCGTTACCCGTTAAATCGTTTAAATCCGTACCGCTACCGCCCCATACTGTTCCATCAATATATATCTACTTATCATCATCAATACGCGCCGCTCTTCTTCATTTGTAAAATGATCCATCACAAAAACTAAATATCAAAAACCCAAACCAAATTCATACCGCTCTGCCTCGCTTCGTTAATTTTTGTATAATTGATTTTGTGATTCACGCGACCGTAATTGAAACA